TCTCCAGATGCTGCCAAAAGTCCTTTGGAGGTCTTACAGCTCACCAGGGAACCCTCTGCTCTGCTTTTTCCTTTTTCTTTTAAAATGAACTGTCAGATGTTCAGGGAGGGAGCTGGGCTGGAAACTCTGCATTCACATGGATTCAGGGTGGTATTGTTCTTGTGGGAGGGGAAGAGGATATTTATTTAGGTTTTTAATCCCTGGATCCTCTTAGATTTGCATTAAGTCAACTGTTTCACAGTGATTGCCCACTGCCACACGTTCAGGGAACTGTAGAGAATTGTTCCAGTTGGAGCAATTAACAGACTGCTTTTGGGGTGCCTTTTTTAAGGGTGGAGGGATATCAACATTAGGCAGAAGGCAAATGCCAACAGAGGCAAAGCTGCCTTAGTGACTCCTTGTATGAATACAACAAAATCCCGGGGGAGTACTCCGTACTCGGTACCCAACAGAGCAGCGAGCTCTACCCTGCATAAAAGCATTTTGCATTTTGGATGATTGTGATCATATTGGGTTAAGTGTTACTGGAGTATTCCCCCTCTTCCAGAGCTACAGGTAATGGGTATTGGAAAGAAACAGGAGTGGTGTAAGCTTACAGCAAAAAACGCATCCCTCAGTCCTCTGCAAAAGCCAAAGGTGATGTATTGCCCATGAGAAGACAAACCACAGCCATGAAACTTGCTCACATATTCCCCCATTTTCATGTCCAGATGGCTATTATGAAACAAGGAGACATGAAGTATGTGCCTGAGTCTGTCTCAGATGACAAAACCATGCTGGTGGATCATGCTAATCCCTTCATGTCTGGACCCCAAGTTCTCTCGGGTACATTACTCATCCCTGAGGCTCTCCAAAGAACTTAGATTTTCCTTTAGATGCCTGATTGTGCTGAAAGATCTGAGAAGGGCTCAAGGGCATAAATTATTCTTTCTGTAGCCTATGATAATGTATGATCCTTAAATTGCCACCAGATCTGCTTTCTTCACATAGGGGAATGAAAATAAGACTGTGCTTGCCCTGAGCCAAGAGGAGGATGTCGTCCAAACCATGCTGTCTTTCAGCAACCCAGCAGCATTGTGGATGCAGATGGTATGAATGCCTGGAGAAATGCAAGTGCTGGAGGATCAGCAGTCAGTATCAGCCACTCAAACTGATTTCTTGTAACAGTCCTGAGAACTGGGGCCAGGTTTGTAAGGATGTAAGCCTGTCAGCATGGTGTAAATCAGTGTAGTATGTACGCTGTGGGGTGACGGACCGGTGGTGTGAAGTAGGGCAGGAGCTGGTTTATTCCTCAGTACTAACCCCCACTCAAAACCCAACTGGGACATTCCTTGCACCTCCCTTGGCAAGCAGCAGAGGTGGGACCTTTCCTGAGCTGTGAGAGGAAACTGTTTTCACACGGCTCTAGGAGATGATGCTTCCAAAAAAAACCCAGTAAACATTGTAACCCCTGTAGTAAAATCAAAGTTAGCAACTCTGGATCAGTGAAGGCCACAAAACCACTAACACAGGGAACTGTAGAAGACAGATGATCGATTAAAAACATGAGTTATTTATATAAATGGGGGGGAAAGGGACGGAGGATATTACTATACAACTGTCTATCCTGGACTATCTGTTTGGCTAGCACATCAGAGATACAGGCATTAGCCAACAGTGTCTCATCCTGCTTTCCCCAGCAAAATTGGGATCTGCCACCAGTTACAGCAGGAGCGGGACTTGCCTTACAATAAATCACATCAATTTACCAGGCAGCTTTCCATGGGAAGCACACTGAGGCTTTGACTGCAGATGGAGCCTATTCAGGCATGCTGACAGCCAGGCACTCACCATTACAGCAGCTGGATCCAGGCTAAATCTCTGCTTTCCCTACGGGAGACTTGTAAGGCAAGAAGAGCAGGCATTGACACACCATTTAGGCACAGGTATGCCAAGACCCCTTCTATTGCCACAGAGGTACTTCTGCCACGTGTTAGTGAAAAGACCCAAAAGCATATTAATGTAAGAATGAAATTGTGATTGCACCATCCTCTTTACTGTAACTGATGAAAAGGCTATAATGCAAATTGTTGTGTGAAGTTGCTTGTTCTACCCGATGTTTTGGCACATTAGGTTCCTATATAGACAGCTTTTAATTATTAATCATTTACAGTGTTTTGAGAGTTGGATTCCAGTGGATTTTAACAGACGGATTGTCATGGATATCAAATACTAACCCCAAGTTTCAACATGAGGGTGTTGGCAGTGATCTCACACCGTTATTTCTGACTGTGGGTGGCTGCAGAGATTGACAGATTGACAGCTGAGACTGCACAAGTGAGAAACCCTTTTCTTAATTGTGCATCATGAGACAGGCCCTGTGGGTTCACAGATCTATGTTGCTATCCATTACAATAACTGATGCTAGCCAATGTCTTAGATTAGAACAAAAAGCTTCTACTTTTCCTGTGTTCACTTCTAGAGTTTTGAGATGTGTGCTGCTGTTGTCAAGAATTTATTGTGGGTGGCCAAAATGGACTTTCCATGAACAAGAGAGGATACAACTGGAAATGCAGAGATCAAGTCATTCAACACTAAGTGATATGAGTAAGGTGGCTTGATTTGAAATGGGTCTCATTGCTGGTGAGCCTACAATCACGTTCTCATATCCTGAGACAGCAATTGACCTGAAAAATGAAAGTCCATGTTATCCTGAGATCAGGAGTGTTTGCATTGACTATATTTTGCTCTAGTTGTCAAAGCTGAACAAAACCAGCTCTGGGAGCTATTGATAGCGTATGACCAATTCAAAAGAAAGATCTTGCAAGTCTCTTGTATGTGAATTAATATTAAATCCTCTGGAAAATTTCAAAACATGAGTTTGCAATGAGTCCCTCGTGGCAGGACATCCCCCATGAGAAAGAATGAGAGGGGTGAATGTAGCTCAGCAAAGCTGACAGTTTAAACCTCCCTAGAGGAAAATATAACCAAGGAAATTATTTTTGTGTATGTGCTGGGTTGGCAGGAGGTTGGGTTTGTTTTGTTAAGCACATGACCCATGTCACTTCAGCACAGAAGGAGATAGATTTTAGATAGCCAAACTGTGCATCTCACCTGGGATCAGTGGTCTGTCAAAGCACCTGGAAGTTACTGCTTTTAAAAGATGCCTTGGTCCTGTGTTCAGTCTGCCTAAATGACTTGGGCAATCAAGTCTGGGACTTTAACGTGTATGGATGTACATCGGGAAGAAGAAAACCCTGGACTTATCTACAGAGACTTGGAACATTTTGGGGCAAGTGTTCCAAATTAAGAATGAAAACATTCCAGGATTTACGTCAAAACTATAAAAATAAGCACTTTGCACAGCTCATGCCCTGACTGAAGTCAGCATCCCTCATCCAAAACATGCACAAAGTACTCTTAATTACTCCAGCTCATGACAAATGCAACTCTCTGTGGTGTTCCACTGATAAAACACCTGTCCCACCTTGATTTTCCCTCTAACCATTCCCAGATGCAAGAGGTGCTGTAAAAACATTCAAAACAATGCTCCCATACCCATGCAGAGGACACAGGAAAGGGGGAAGGGAGAAAGCAAACAGCCTTATTTGTAGCTTTTACTATATTCATATTGTACAACAAGCCTCCCACAAAGCCCTGACTAAGCCTGTGGCCCCAGAGGACTAAGTGCTGCCTTAAAAATATGTGGACAAACAAGGCAAGGAAGAGGAAAGAGCTCTGTTCCTGTGGGACTCCGAGCCTTTCTCTCCATCCTTGGCAAACTGCACCAAGGTGGTGCAGACAGAGCAGAGAGCTAAAAATGTCCTTGAGTTGCTGTGATTCCCAATGCACATCTGGGCTGAGCAGAACTGCTGCACTTCAACACAAGCAGTTTCTCTTCGTATAGTCCAGACCAATGTGCAAGGATAACTGCCTCAGTTTAGCAAAGTAGTTAGTGGTACCACCCTCTACAAGCAAGATTATATCACCTTCCTGAAGGACAGAAAGTGTGTTTGCAATCCTCTGTGGGGCTTGGATACAAGTCCTTTCCTCACAGGTACTCAAAAAACCAATCCCTAGGACAGGCCACTACTCCCCATGAGGCATAGTCAGACCTACCCTAACAGGAGCCCACAGGAGCCCACAGACCTGAGCTGTCCTGTGAGGAGTACAGAGGCTGATAGTGCTCCTTAGCAAAACTGTAGCTTCCTGTAGGGCTCCAAGGAAAGCAAGTTTGGGAAGGAAGGAATCAGGGTTTACCAGCAGGTACACATGAAAAATGAAACTTTGAGACCACAAGTGCCACTTTATGGCACTCTAAAACACTGAAGGCACTTCAACGTGGTGACAGTGCCATCAGCTGAGGTTGGCATCAGCACTTGGAAGTGTGTTGTTAGAAGTGAGATGATAATGTCACTACAGATGTAGTGCTTAAGCATAGCAGAAGCTATCTGTATGGCTTCTCCAGCTGTGCAATGTGGGTTCGATAGTCAAAAGTGGGCACAGAGCCTCATTCTTTATTAGGCCTGCTTTAGCAGCAAAATCATAACTTCTGCCTAAGAGACATATACCCACCTCATCAACATGCTACATTTGAGCATCTGACTAACATGCAATAGCACTGGATAACCTAAAGCAGCAGCAGATCCATGCCAAAGCATAGCCCTCCATGGGATGAAACTGCTGGTGGTGCTGCAGGCCTGGTGCACACCTGCAGAAGTGGCAGTAGAAGCACTAGGACAAGTGTGAATGGGAATACCTGGGTGTCAAAGTACCAGAAGGAGCAAGTGACAGGATGAGGGCAACAGCAAGACATGTACTTTTGGCACATATGTTAGCAGGGCAGGAAGAGCCACCACATACCTACAGGCACCTTCTGAGGCCACCTGGTAAAGGAGATAGGGGAGAGTGAGTCAATTCTGATGACTCATATGTGGGATAGGGTGGAGCTATTGACCCTCATCAGTTCCAGATGGGTATAAGTAGCAGCTCCAAAGGCATGTTTACCATTTCAAGGAGAAGTTGGGTTGTTTTGCAGTGATTGTAATTTTTCCTCCATGGCACCATGAAAGCTCCTGGTAGTGCAACCTGGATACCAGCATCAGACATGTAGGTTTTGAATGCTTATGGGTAAGTAAGTGAAAGTACAAATGAATGGAATCATGTTTTGGTTTAAATTGAAATCACCATCTGCTGGCATGTAGAGTTGTTGCAGCAGGATGCAGTGTTGCTTCCTACCATTGCGTCTGTTGCACCCTCATCTCCTTTGGAAGCATTTGATGGTGTTACTGGTTTGTAAGTGGAAAAAAAAAAAAGGATTAAGTGTGTCAGTCTATGCAGTGGTTAAAGCTTCTCTAAGATGCTAGTGAGGATGCTTCCTGCTAGCAGCACTCGGGTGCTGCTCCTTAGGTTGAAAGCTTTCCCTTTTGCTGTGAGGGCCCCTTCACAAGAAGTGTCAGGTGCAAAGCAAAGCCCTCAAAGGCATTCCCTTGACAGAAGGGAGATGCTGATTGAGCCTCCCTTGACTGCCAGAGTGCAGCACCAATTTGCAGTGTATTGCCTAAGAGAAAAGGCACCTCAGCTGGGAGAATAATTTGCAATAATGAGAGATGAAATCTAAACTTTACAGGATACCTCTTGTCAAACAAGAACGTACCAAAGTCACAATGAATTTCTGGAGTACTTGACAGGCATTTCTTCTGTGTAGGGCTCTGTAATATGCATTTGCCTCTCATGTTGCCTTACAAATTGTTGCTGTTGAGCAACTGCCACCAGGAGCTGGAAGGGAGTGTGAATCTCCTCCATCAGCAGTTCTGAGCTTTCTTTCCCCAACGTGGGAGGAATGGTAAATAAGAAAACTGCATACATGTTTCTGGAGGATGCCAAGGAGGCAATATAAATGAACAGCATTGTTCACACTGGGTTATCTGATGAAGCACTATGTGCAGGTTATAAGAGAAAGAAAAGTAAGAAGACATTTAATACTGAATTTTTGCTGTTAGACTGACTGGCTGTATCTGTTCCCAGCATGTTGCTGGATTAGGAAGTTGGATCTCTATCACCCACAGGTGTGCAGAGCAAAGAGCTCTTCTGGTGACCAACCATTCCAGGTGGTGATACAGGCTTCCGAAGGAGCAGAATGGTGGGAGAATGTAGTTTGGGTCCCAGCAGGGCTGCCTTGATGTAGCCATGTGCTGGGCTGAGCATGTGGCTCTATTTGCTATTGCAGAGGTGGCTGCAGACTGTGTCATGCTTCTTTGATGGTTGCTGTGGTTTTTGAGATGTCTTGGTCTGTACAAGATGTGACACCTCTGTTAAACTACAAAATGCATCTGCATTCACAAAAGCTGTGACTGAAGTCCTGGCATGGACATGCACAGCACATGAGGACTTGGTATCAGTGACACTCAGGGTAGGAAATCACTGCACTGTCTTCTACAATCTGTACTACTTCACATGGAAGCAGAGCTGAAAGTTCAACTGAGCATAGCTAGTGAATCCTGGGATGAGCTGTTTGGCTTTTTTCTAAGAAAGGCAGCTCATGAAAAGGCTGTTTGTCCCTTCCCCTCAGCTGGGGCTGAGGTCTTCATGTTCATATGAAAAAATGAATCTGCTGGGATAAAGGGCTGCTATGAAATAAACATCAGATGGATTTTGTCCCTGCCTGTGGCAGGGAGATGGAACTAGATGATTTTAAGATCTTTTCCAACCCTAACTATTCTATGATTCTATGCATAACCAGACAGAAGTAAGAGCAGACATGGTGTTCACTTTCACTTTCAGGTGAACAGTAACCAGCTATGGCCAAAGAAAAAGCCAGAGAAAGAGCCCATCACTATCTCCTCATTGGCGTCTAGTCCTGTTCCTCAGTGAAAGCTGGCATATTGCAGGACAGCTGATTTCCCTGACTTTTTTTGCAGTGCTTTACACTTCCCAGGAGTTGTTTCTATATGACTGTAATAGAGCTGTCAAAATAACAGCTTGTGGTAGAGGATGTAATCGCACCTCTCACCTCCACGCTGCCCCCACCTCCTGCAGCTCCTGCCTCTAATGAAAAGCTTGAGGATGGGGCTGAATCAAGGTGACACTGCCTGCAAGTACAGAACATGCCTCAGTGCTCATGTGGCTGACCTTCCCAGCAAAGCCACACCATGGCCTGCGGTTCCTCTACGTTTTTTCTCTGCCAAAGGTTTACAGGCCTGGTCCCAGCTATGGTCTCCTTTGTTCTATGACCTGTAGAAGGTCTTCTGCACTGAAAGTCTTCCTTTCTGCTCAGCATTTTTGCTCTCACTATGCTGTGCAGGCAACACATGGGGCACAGCGCAGCAGCATGATTTTGACAAGTAAAGACACTGCAACTTGACAGGGCAATGAGGGTGGAGATGGGATAAGGTCTGATCCTCATCCACTGTGAAATGGCTGTTAAGTAGGCTACTGAGTATACCTCCAGGAGGTATTATTGCCTTAGGTCCATCTGGCAAGGGCTGCCTGGAGGGAGGCAGCATCTTGGTGCTGGGGCAGTAACAGCTCTCCTGCTGGGGTAAAAGGGGCTATTAGAAAGTGTACAGCCCTGGTCAGTCTGGAAATAATTGTGTAAAATCAAATGGGTGGCAACATCATAGCAAAATATTAATGGACTGGAGACACCATCCATCAATGTCCATTATCATTTGCTTCGAGGCATCAGCCTTTTTCTCTCTTCTTTTATCAGGCATCTTAAGTAACCTACAGGTTCCTGCTTGCAAGGTCAGCATTTCCTATGCATGAGAACAGTATCTATTGCAGACTGAAGCTGTGGGCTGCGTAGTTCTGATGTACCAGCTCAATCAGATGTTTGAGTATCTCTGCAGGAATGATCACTGTCATTTAATTTGCTGATTAGTGTTGTCATATCTATTTGTAGAATACAGTATAATTTATGGTGAGATCCCTGGAGGATCTTCAGCAAATGCTACAAGTAATTGAATCTGCTGATTTCTAAAGGTCAGGTGAAAACCGAGCATTATTATAACACAAATTATGTGATGATGACACCAGGCAGCTTTACATTTCAAATGTAAAAAAGTCTATTTATTGATTATGGCTATATGGCAGCACTGTGGAAGGTGAGCAAATAATACAGTCAAGAAGTCTAACTTCTTCAGCAAAAACCTGAGGTGAGTTTTCAACCCTGTCAGTAAGAGCAACGTAGTTCTTGAAGAGAAGAAAGGTGAAAGGGACTTGCACTACTCTTCTTCAAAAGCCAAAGAGGGAGGAGAAGAACTTCAGAGAGAGGCAATTAGGGAAGCATCAGGAAATTGTTTGGGTTATTTTACTGAAGAAGTGGCTCACAGATGAACTCTGGGGTTGAGTGCTGCTATTTCCAGTCCTGGCTGCATGCGATACCCTGAGCTAGCATGGCTGTTTCCCATCTCTCTTTCAGAAAACAAGTGGATTTCCCTTATCAGCAAAACTAATTTTGTCTGTCTGGCAAGTTATTAAAATAAGGTCTTTTAATTTGGCTTGTACAGTCTTTGGGGTTCATTTCTGCAGAAAAAGGAGAGAAACAGAAGGAAGGTGGTCTGGCACGGGGCAGGGATGATCAGCTTTTGAGAGCACCATGCTACAGCAGCTCATTGAAGGAATGGCTTGCCCAAAGAATAAAGCTGTTGGAGGATGCCAGTAATGCAAAGCTCAAGCTTGGGCGCTGGTTTGTCTGTACCGAAGTCTGCTCACTGATAAGAAGTTGAGGTTTCTATACAATAAACCCAAACTTTTTTCTTGTTTTAAAACAGAAAAGTGGTTTTATTGCAAACTAGATGATTGTTGACAACCTTGTCTGGCCTCTTTAGAAACCCCTCCAGCTTTCTGGAATAACACTAGTTCCCATCTGCTTTTCACAAAGGAACTTCTTGTGACAAAGTCAATGGAGATTTTAAAAACAAACAAACAAAAGTTTGCAGTGAAACAAATCAGCAAGACAAGGAGTGGGTTGAAGCAGTGACTACATCTTGGAGAAGGCATCTATCTCTGTAAGGCTGCTGCCAGCTCCAGCACCCTGCATGGTGTCCAACAGGCACTAACAGGGCTTCTCTGGAGCAGCTCCAGCCTGTTGGTGCTTTGTACAGGGGAAAATTGTACTGGGTCCATAAACTTTGTGATGAAAGCACAAAGGGTAAACACATGTTTCCTTGTAAAAGCCCTCCCCTAGAATGGATCAAGCAAGTTATTCTGTTCTTGTACACTGCAGAAATACGTGCATGCTGCAAACTTTTTTTTTTCTGTTCTGTAAATCATCAACCTAGAGCACTGTAGGCCACATAATGACTGCATGAGCTGCCAGGACAATAAACCGAAGCTTTAAGCCCACAAAAGACTTAAACACCAACCTTACTTTACATAGCCTGGTGACAGTAATATGGATGTGCCTAAGGCTGAGCTCCAGTGCTTTGATGGATCAGGGCCTAAATACACAGGGACACTTCAGAAGCATCTGTCAGCAAAAACTTCCTTTCCTCAGGAGGAGGCTTTGCTCACAGCTCCTGTGTGGGAGCCGGGACGCATAAATCCCCCAGACTTTGTTGTTCTGCCAGCAAGCAGGAAGAGAGCAGTAAAAACCTGCCAGGTCAGTTAGAAACCAGCTGAGTGACAATGCTGCAAAAGAGCCACCTGAAAATCGACTGGCAAACAACAAAAGAGAGGAATGGGCTCCTGGGGTGAAGTCAGAAGGCAGACCAGCTCTCCGCCTGCATGCACACTTGTGTGCTGCAGTGGTTCTGAGGCCATGGATGCTCCCTCCTGTTTTCCTGTATCTTTCCTGTTGAGCAAAACCCAGAGCATCAGTGGAGCAGGGTACCCCATTGCCTGCTGTGTCACACAGGACCTCTGCCATGAGCAGAGGGGGAACACTGGAGCACAGTCCTTATGGTACCAGCAGCATGAACCTGTTTTCTCTGTCCTCAGCATCACTCCCCTTATGGGGACAGTTGGTACCAGGTGATGGCAGATGCCACTGGGCACAAGGATGTGCAGTGGCCCACGTGGATCAGACAGGGATCTATTAGGCTATTTTGGTGCTCTCCAGGGAGAAAGCGAGGGTACGCAAACACTGATAAATAACTGTTCCTGGTTCTGGGTCTCTTACATAAGGTGACGATTATAGAAACTGCAGTGTATGAGGGGGTGGGAAGGGATGCAAGGATCAGAGTTTTTAAAGGAAAGTAGGTCTGGTAATTTAGGGGGCAAATGGAAATTGCCAGCTTTCCCTGAGGTTTGGTAAATGCAAAGAGGGTGCTGGATTGTATCGATGTCACAGCCACAGGACAAGGTGTGAGAGTCCTGTGCTGGGGAAGTGCCACTCAAAGAACTTTATATAGCTCTTCTCTTTCGAGATGAGCTGATGTATGGTACCATCAACTGAGCACAGTACCAGGGATAAATGATTTAAGAGGACAAATGGTTTCCAAAGGCAGAGAGGCAAGTATTGTCTCAAAGTAACCAACCATTCACATTTCTTCCCAAGTACAAATGATGCTTGAATTATCAGAGACATATAGAAAGCAATTCTGTAGCCAGCCTGGCACTGATGTTGGTTAGTGAGTATCTTTTTTTGCTACGTATTTTCTTTCCTTTAAACCCAGGGAAGAATGCAGGATTAATACTTAGGATGCTTTTTAATCTTAAGCAGAAAGATGCTGTTCATAAACAAGGTTTAGGTGTATTTAAATCGGAGAGGGTCTGTGTTTGGAGTGCATTAAGACAGGCTGCTGTTTTATGCATAGCTGTTTAGAGAAAAACAGGGCAGAGTTTCACAGCGTAACACACTCTCAGCGCAAAGCACTAAATGTTTCACGCAGTTATCTGCCGCCTCCTCCTCCTCTAAATACAGACCCCAACTTGCCACTTTCCTACGCTGCAATTTATTTTCTTATAGCCATGTTGTGAAAGCTGCGGGAATGGGAGTGCTCTGTTCCAGTTCGTAATGCAGTTACATCCAGCCTATCTGTTGTGGTAATGTGCATTTAAAGAGTCAGTGGTGAACATCTGTTGATGTTGCTCTTCAGTGTGCGCTATTTATGAGCTGATCAGAGTTATGCACTAAAAAGTAGACATGTTACAGCAATGTCATTCCTCAGCTGCATTTCTCTCCCCATTGGGTTTCTGATTTCTGTATCAGAAACAGCATCACAACTTTCACAAAGCAAGTTTTTGATGCACAGTTGGTGGAAGGCCTCCTTTGGAAGAATTGGTGTGCTAATGTTAAAGGAGGGCTGTAACACAGCGGACTGGGTATGAGAAAATAAGATGATAGCCTGCTTGCTGGGTGATAGCTATATTGTCTGGATGCCACCAGTGCTTGTGTTTCACTCATTCCTCTTGCATATCTGTATTTGGAGAATACTTTACAGGTGATTTCACACAAGGACACAATTCCTGCCCTAAGAATCTTAAATGCTTTTGGTACATCTCTTCCTTTGGGCCAAGTCTGCTCTCATTGCAATTAGCAGGATCTTACGCTGCAGTTCTCGTGCACAAGCTTTGCTCAACTGAACAGTCTCCCTGACCCCAGAGGGGTATTTGAACATCTAATTTAGGGATCGTTAGTTAGGTTGGTACTCACTGAAATGCTGATAAATAAGACCTTCTCACCCTATACACGTTATTTTAAATCACCCCAAGGACTGCCACAGAGGTGTGCTGCCAGGGGGAATCTGACTTGGACCAGATCCAGAAGATCTGCTGGATTGCCCATTGCGCAACATGCCCCAAACCACAGATGTTCAATAGGTCTAAGGAGCATTCATGCTCCTGGTGGCACCATGTAAGGAATGAGAGATGAACGTGTGTATCTGGCACAGCATTTTCATGAGCCATAAATGAGAAGCAAAAACATTTGGAGAACAAGTAAAGCTGTTTTTACAGCCATACATTGTGAGACCCTGATTCTCTCCTTTCTCTCCAGCAAGGCTGCAAAGAGAAGAGATAAAGCAGCAAATCCTGCTCTTGTTTTGACTTCCTTCATGTGTCTGCAAACAGGTTGTTACGTGAAAATCCTGGTGGTGGGGGGGAAATGGTCTGTGGGAGTTTGCATAAGTTTCTGTGTGTTTAGCCATTGCTTGTGTCTCTGTTTGCTCTTTCTCACCAGGTATGTGAATGGAGACCATTGTACATAAGGACATGCAGTAGTGCCCAGGTACTCCTTGGCTATAAAGAAACATTTGTGCAGTGGCAGCTGAACCACGGAGATGGTAGAAGTAGGTGCCCTGTCTCCATTTTAAAGGAAAAAGGAGTATGTTTTATTGAATCAATCAAGGCTTTGATAGCTAGGCCACCTTATTCCTGCAGGGAATCCGTAGGAAGGATTTATGTTAAATGTTCTCTAATGATAATGATACTTTTTTAATAGAATGCAGAATAGTATGCCACCTAAATCTTGATAGCCCATTTCTTTAGCTCAGAAATGCTAATGCAAGGTGTATCTTGTACTCCACACTTTGACAGCTCTTAATTTCTTTTCTTTTCTCACTATATAGTAATGTGGAGTTAGAGGCTTTATCTACATAACTACAGTCACCCTCACAAGCTTCTCCAGACAGCAACTTAGCAAAAAAGGCCTGCTTTGTCTATCAGTGCTATATACTGTAATCAGGAGAGTGAACAGAGATGCCAGATTTATGACTTGATTTTTATAGAGCTGGGAAGGGTGACTAACACGTGGTATTCATTTCATGAGAAAGTGGGGAGCCTCAGGATTTTTTCAATACCCACTTCAGAAATATCACCCTAAATGGAGCTTTTTTGATAAACTGAAGTCTAAACAGGCAAAATATTCAGAATTGTCTGCTTTTTGTTGTTGTTTTCAAAGCAGGGAGATACGCTTAGATAATCTAGAATGTCAACAGGATTTGGCATTTGGGGGAAGTCCTACCCAATGTTTTAAGCTGTCCTTCAGGAAATGTGCCATAACCTCACTGATCCAGCAGCACTGCTTCACTGAAGTTGTCTCAAAACCTTTGCTACGTTTCACCAATACTTTTTACAATTCACTTAGAAGTGCAACATCTATAGACACTCGGAAAACAAACCAGAACACAGCGTTTCAGTTTCAGATCGAATTTGTAGCCAGTTTGTAGCTCTCTTTCAAAAGTACAATTAAATACAATTCTGGCTGTTTAACTCTTCCAAACAGAAATGGAACCACTTAGTGACATCTCTATTTTGACTGGGTTTGTGATGCTTGGTGAGACTGGTCTCAAAGAGGTGGTGAGCTGCTCTGCTCTCAGCCCTGGATTGCTAAACCTGAAGTCTCATTACACTGCTTTCATTTTCCTGGTTGTTCACTGCTTTACTCTTGTAAATTTAGCAAGAAGCCTCCAGCTGTGCTGAGATTGGAAGCAGTTGAGGCTTGAGGTTAGGGCTTGAAGAGCATGTAGCCTCTCATTTTCTCTGTCTGGCTTTGAATGGCACCTATTCAAATTATACACATACACTTTCTACTGTAGGTTGCTTTTATGGGGGCTTTCCCTTCCGTAGATGAACTGTGAACAAATCATTTTAAGCTGGTAACTTTAATCAAAGGATTTCTTCTCTTTTTTTCTTGTAAAAGTTTCTTTGATGTCATTTCAAATTCAGCACTGGTTAAATTCTGTTGGTTTCCTAGGAAAGATCTGCTATTGCTTAAATCAGAAAGGCAAAACCCAATGCAATGCAATGAGATCTTGTCTACCAAACATGTGGGACATGCAGATGAATGACTTGTAGTCAAGCTTTAAATGCAACTTAGTCCCAGCCATTCTTTGAATTTGAAAGACCTGCATAAAGAATGGTGCTCTTAAAACTCCAGTTTGAAACAAGTTGCAGTGGAAGTCAAGACCAGGTTGGACGAGGCCTTGGGTGACATGGTTTAGTGCGAGGTGTCCCTGCCCATGGCAGGGGGGTTGGAACTCTATGATCTTAAGGTCCTTTCCAACCCTAACTATTCTATGATTCTATGATTCTAAGTCAACCACTGTTACATAGCTCTGGGCCTCTGTGCCTTCAAAAACTAAAATCCCAGTACCTATTGATTTTCTATAATTATTATATTTTGATAGCAACAGCACATCTCCCTTGTCAGAAGAGGATTTCTTCTTTCTTAGTCTCTTCCTTCCCTGCTACCAAGGGTTATGACCAGACTGTAGGATCATTTAGCATCTCTCAGCTTCTAGATCAAAGGGAACCACTTGCTCAGTCCCTGGCCTGCATATCCTACATACCCCTTAGTCCTGGGTTCAGCAGTAGCAGTCATGTTGTTTCCTTTGTGTTAACTGGTGCAGTGCTGTGTTTTGACTTCTAGTTTGAGAACAGCGTTGGTGAAGCCGATGTTGTCGGTTGTTGCTAAGTGATGTTTACCCTGACCAAGGACTCTGTGAGGCTCATGCTCTGCCAGGGAGGAGGGGAAGCTGTGAGGAAGCAGAGACGGGGCGCCTGACCCGGGCTAGCCGGGGAGGTATTCCATACCACAGCACGTCATGCCCGGGGTGGGGGGTAACTGGGAGTTACCCGGAAGGACAGGAGCTTCCGGGTGGAACTCGTTTTCTTGGCCGGTGGTATCGTATTCTCTTCCCTTGTTATTTTCCCTTATCATTGTTTTAGCTGATAGTAGCGGTGGTGATTTGTTGCTGGACTGTTCTTGTCTCAACCCGTAGGAGTTGCACTCTCTCGATCCTCCTCCCCGTTCCTCCGGGAGCGGGGAAGGGGAGAGCCCCGGTGCGGGGGGGGGGGGGGGGGGGGGAGACGGACACGGACCTTGATTGTTGTCAGCTCGGCACCACTCACTGGGAGTGAGTGAACAAGTTACCTGACTGGGTTTAAACCACTACAGTTCTTTTTGGCGCCCAACGTGGGGCACGAGGGGTTGAGATAAGAACAGATCTGACTGGATTGATAGTCACTCGTCACAATGCTGATTTATTGGCTCGCAAGGTTTTTCCTCTTGATCTCACAGTTTCAGTATACCATATCTTACGTCCATCCGGTATTGGCTGTATTAGTGTTTTTCAAGTGTGGGGCTTGGGCTAAGGTTTTTATCCCATTGTACTTTATGGTAATGACTTGTAATACAATAGAATCATTGATCATGAAACTGATCTGGTTTATGTTCCCAGTGTGGTCACCACCTTTATACTTTGGGAGGTATATGATGGAGGTGCTTAGCAATTACACATCTTTTTTCTCCTTCTCAGGTGCTCAACCTGTGAAGGAGACATCCTTTTACCCTCCTAGTCGTCCCCCCAGACCATTTACATTTGAGAGTTTTGAATTTTTTAAATGGCCTTTTAATGCTGTTGAGACTTGTTTACTGATGGTGATGGGAATCGCCATGCTAACACGCATACAGAGTGTGTTTTGCCCACTACTGATTTCAAGAGTTAAGCAGATTCAGGTTTGGGTCTTGTCTGGGGTCAAAAGACGATGTAGGAGGACCGAGAGATTTTCCCAGAGGCTGGACAGCCATGAGTGGCAGGGTGTGTGGGATAGTATGGGCAAGTATCTAGGTCAGTGGGCCCCTCCAGTATTTTGGAATTTCACTACCGAACAACTGCAAAATCCAGAAGAATTAGTAAAACACTTAAATGAGGTGTGTGGTCATTCTGGCCATACCAGAGATGGACAAATCACGGCAACGTGCTGGGGCTTGGCCTATGCTTACAGGGCCTTGTTCAACACTATCCAGCCTCTGGGAAAATCGAACGGTACAATGGGCTGTTAAAAACTACACTGAGAGCGATGGGTGGGGGAACTTTCAAGCATTGGGATACACATTTACCAAAGGCCACCTGGTTGGTCAACACCAGAGGATCTGCCAACAGGGCTGGCCCAGCCCAGTCAGAACTTTTACATATTGTAGAGGGGGACAAAGTTCCTGTGGTGCATATGAAGAATTTGCTGGGGAAGACAGTCTGGGTTATTCCTGCTTCAGGTAAAGGCAAACCCACTCGTGGGATTGCTTTTGCTCAGGGACCTGGATATACTTGGTGGGTAATGCGGGAAGATGGGGAAGTCCGATGTATACCTCAAGGGGATTTGATTTTAGGGGAAAACAGCCAGTGAACTCAATTGTATACTGTTGCCTGCTGTGTAATGCTTTTATAGCCCATCAACTAGATGTCTCCAGGTCACCAGCGACTGGCCCTGACTTCCCTCCAGCCATCATCCCAACAGAGAATGAACTTGGAACATCATGGACCGAATGGACTCGGCAGCATTATAGGGATTGGTCCATGCACTAAGAAAATGATTTTTTCCTCTTGGTCTGTATGTATATGGATGTATATATGTGGGAGAGCGATGGTGTATTGAAAATGTGGGATCTGAGCACGACGTGAATGGTATGGAATAAGGGGTGGATAATGTCCTGGGTTCAGCAGTAGCAGTCATGTTGTCTCCTTTGTGTTAACTGGTGCAGTGCTGTGTTTTGACTTCTAGTTTGAGAACAGCGTTGGTGAAGCCGATGTTGTCGGTTGTTGCTAAGTGATGTTTACCCTGACCAAGGACTCTGTGAGGCTCATGCTCTGCCAGGGAGGAGGGGAAGCTGTGAGGAAGCAGAGACGGGGCGCCTGACCCGGGCTAGCCGGGGAGGTATTCCATACCACAGCACGTCATGCCCGGGGTGGGGGGTAACTGGGAGTTACCCGGAAGGACAGGAGCTTCCGGGTGGAACTAGTTTTCTTGGCCGGTGGTATCGTATTCTCTTCCCTTGTTATTTTCCCTTATCATTGTTTTAGCTGATAGTAGCGGTGGTGATTTGTTGCTGGACTGTTCTTGTCTCAACCCGTAGGAGTTGCACTCTCTCGATCCTCCTCCCCGTTCCTCCGGGAGCGGGGAAGGGGAGAGCCCCGGTGCAGGGGGGGGGGGGGGGGGGGGAGACGGACACGGACCTTGATTGTTGTCAGCTCGGCACCACTCACTGGGAGTGAGTGAACAAGTTACCTGACTGGGTTTAAACCACGACACCCTTGCTCAGCCTCACATCCCTGTACACCAACACACCTCTGCCTCCCACTCTAGGAACAACTGTAATGATCTCTGTGTTTTGCACTTACTTTGCAATAAGATAAAAATGCCCACTATCAGTTCCTGGCTCAACAGGGCAGCACAGCAGCTGCCTTCATTCCCCTTTGCTGCTAGTTGAGGTCTGTGTGGGCAAATAGGTGTTAAACTGAGTTTCAGTCTGCTGGCAGTGAACCTCTTATTATATAGCTCTGCCTGAGGG